TTTGCAAGGGCAACTACTATTCACGTGAATAGTGGCTGCCCTAGCTTCCCCCCTTGCCATGACCTTAGAGCATTTCCAGCAAGGGGCCTTGGGGAAGGGCTGGGGGGGCGCTGGGGGAAAATGGTGTTTCCAGCAACACAAATCTGCCAGGGCAAGGTGTGGGCCCCAGCAAAAAAAATTTGTCTGGGCTAGCCCTTGGGGAGGTCCAGCTCGAGTAACAAAACTCGTTTTGGGCTGACGTCAGTGCGCTGATGTCAAGAAGACGTCAGCGCTGCTGTTTAAAATTTGTTAACATTGGCGCGTGCAATGCACGCGCCAACCTTAAAAATAATTTGACGCACCCGCTACAGTGACCCTCCAACGGGTCTATTTCACTTGGCGCCCACACGAGTTGTCCGATCAACTTTATTCCAAATCCAACGGTAGCCATTTTTCGTGAATAAAAAAATAAAAAAAAAATCGAAACTCGCACCCAACGGCTCTCTTCCATCTGGCGATGCTCTGGGAGCTCCAATTTAGTTCTTCCAGCAATCCAACGGCAGCTGTTAATTCTGCCCAAAAAAAAGAAATCGAATTTTTTTTTGAAAAAATACCCAAAAAATACTGATTTTTTTTCCTATAAATACCAACAAATACTCTTCACTTTTAACACCAACTCTTCATACATTTTCTTCTCATTCTACCATTATTCACTTTGTAGTCAATATTTTTTTCACTTCGAAGTTGAATTTTTCTAGAAAAATTTATGGGTTCTTATAGTGAAACCGGAGGGGCATGGAGTGTCATGGAAGATGTTAGCTTGTGTGAGTCTTGGCTCCACATTAGTCATTGTCCCGTAACGGGCAATGAGATGAAATTATGTCATATGTGGAAAAAAATTCATCAGGATTTTTGTGAAAAGGTAATTGGTTCGATCCGTACAGATCAGGCACTATCTAGTAGGTGTAAAATTCTTAATAAAGAGTTGGCGAAATAGAGGGATGTCTTGGCAAAGGCGATGGACAACCATAGAAGCGGGGAAAACCTTACCAGTGAGGTAATATTTTTGTAATTTTTGTTTTATTAATTTCTATGTCATATTAAAATTTATTTAAATATTTCTTGCAATTTAGATATTTTGTTAATATTTCTTGTATTTCCAATATTAATATGAATGTTTGTTCCAATATTTAAATTTTGTTTTGCATTTCTAATAAATTGTTAAAGTTTCTTGTATTTCCATTATTTTTATTTTTTTATACTTGTTGCATTGCCAATAATTTTTAAATTTTCTTGCATTTTCATTTTTTTTAATAGACTATACAAGCACAAATGTTTTTTGGTGCTACTGGGCAAGGAAAAAAAAGTTTCAATCATACCCATTGTTGGGAGGTGGTGAAGAATTGTAAGAAATTCCAAATTATTCCAACGGGTCCGACGGTAGTTTTGAACGAGACGCCACTCCATGAGACACCGGCATCGGACTCACCTATGGATTCCCCAATGAGTCAAGACTCACCTATCGAAAAGGAGCCGAAGCCTATTGGGAGGAAGGCGGCGAAGGCGAAGAGAGGGAGTAATTCTACCAAGTCATCATCTAAATTTTTGGAGGAACTTTCAAAGATGCAAGCCATGAGAATTGAAATGGACATGAAACAACAAGAGCACGATAGGGCAATTGATGTAGAAAATGCAAAAGAAAGGGAGTATGTACGCCAACAAAGGGAGTATGCACGCCAAGAAAGGGAGTATGCACGCCAAGAAAAGATTGAAAATAAGGATCGGGAAACAATGGCCATGGATACAACCCATATGTCCCTTGAAACAAAACAATATTGGAAGCTAGAACGAAGGGATGTTATGAGACGAAGACTTTTTCGTGACGATGGACCTAGCAACATGTATTGGTTAAATGATCAAAACAATTAAGTTAGTTTGCTTGCCTTTCATTTCATTGTACCATTAAATTAGTTTGCTTGCCTTTCATTT